GTTTTTACATTAACATCGCATATACTGCCACAGACTAATTCAGTCAATTATAATTCCGTAAATGTAATTTTTGTATTCTTTAGTAACCTATTTTTTTTTTCTTGCGTACTCGCAATAAGAATCTGCAGTTTCAGACGTGTATAGTACTGCCTTTTGAAGTTTTTCTGCTAGATTCTTTTTCTCAGGGAATAAAGTTACCAGCTCTAAACGTAAATTGTCCCACGAACGACCCTCAGCCGGGTCCCATGTTTCAAACCACAATAAGGCGGATCCCTTACGGGCCTTACCAGCTTTGGCGACTGTTGCGGCGTTACTCCATCCAAACTCTTTGGATGAGGGTTTCAATATTGTTGCACCATGATTCAGCACCAAGGTCACTTAGCTGGATCAAATACTGGCAGAGCGACCTCGCTGTCGTTCTGGCGGGAACCGGAAACTGCGTCTTTGATGGCCTTCAGAAACTCTTAGGTAAATCCATCTGGAAACTAAAAGGAAAATATCAGTTAACAAGCATGGATTATCGAATCCCACTTCTGATAATAGCAACCTAAACTGACAACAACCTATAAATCAGCAATTTATCAATTCTACACTATATATTTGTTGAATTGCATATTAAAGCATAGTCCAAAACAGTTACTTCATCAGGAACATCTATCTATTGAGTAATAATAATACCATTATGTAATAATCATTGTATATTCATTTATTTATGATAAATGGCAAATAGAAACATTTTACATACATAATAATATTTATTTAATAACGTAATAATTATACTTATCTTTTAATTCACAATGTCCACACTTATACACAGTATCAAGCCAGAGAGAGAGCTCCGCACCGCCCGACGTCTCAACCGAGAATGAATCGAGATTGGTCGGCGCAGGGGCTTTTGTAGGCGGTGACAAACAACTATGCGTCATACTTGTTTGTCATCGCTCGAACGTTGGCTTTAATTTAAAATTGTATTTACTGCAATTATTTATAAATATATTATTACTTAATTTACTAACATATTTCTATACCTATACATTTGTGTTATATATCTATACCTATACATAGGCATAAGCTATCACATGCATAATCTTTTGTTTATGGTCAAACTTCTGTTATTGTTTAATCTGTGCTCAATATTTTTTTTATAACTAAGGGACTTTTTTTGGCGGGAACGCGAGGAGTGAAGTTGTGTGATTTGTTTTATTTTGTCTATTTAGTGTTTCTTCAGGTTTAAATGTGTAATAACGGTGGTTTATTAACTGTTTAATATCTGTAAAAGTGCACAAATGTGGGAAAATGAAACAAAGCTGCTGGACGTAACTTCTCGGGTTCCTCCAAAAAGTCCACTGAAAAAATCTCAGTAAATGACCACCATTTTACTGCGATTATATTTCATCCCATATCATCACATTTCATTAAATTTCATCCCAGTTGATTAATGTCTCAAATTAATCATCTTCATTTCATTTCATTCCATATTATCATTTTTCATAAAATTAAGAATATAAAGTAAAATAAGACATGACTTAAAGGTCTTAGTTACCAGGTCATAAAATCTCTTAAAAAAAAAAAATATAACTAAGGTGGTTGGAATAGCTCATAGTCCACCTAGTTAAGTGGTTACAGAAGCTCATAGACATCTACAACGTAAATGCGCCACCCACCTTGAGACGTGAGTTCTACAGGTCTCACTTTTACCTTGGGCCCGCGGTCCGCTCACAACACCATGCAGACCGTTGAGTCTCACATACCCCGCGCGCCCCTTTTGCGCGGGGACCTCATAGAAGGTTCGGCCCTCTACCCGAAAGAAAAAAAAAGGTCTCACTTTTAACAGTACAACGACTGCCCCGCCCTTCAAACACAAACGCATTACTGCTTCACGGCAGAAATAGGCAGGGCGGTGGTACCTACCCGAGCGGACTCACGGTCCTACCCCCAGTAAAACTACCAATTAAAAAAAGTGAATATTATAGTATTAAAGTGTAGCTTTGACAAAATCTGTGATTATAGAAGTAATGTCTTTAACAATAGAACCATAAGAATATTAAAACTTATAATTTAAATATATAATTATGGTGGAATTTGGACCGCTACATAGAGGTACCTACTCTATGTAGGTAAACCTACTCTAGTATTTACAAAATGTCTTCCGCAGAACTCGTACTACTACCTGCTGCGGCGCTACCTGGAGAGCGTGTACCCTGGCTGCGAAGCGAAGTCAACCTTCCTCAAGCTCATACAGAAAGTCCTCGAGCTTCGGAAGCTCGCCGAAGAGATAACCGACGTGTACCTCGACGTTAACCCTCTCGAACCGCTGCTGATGGAAATCTTCGATCTCAAGCATCACGGCGGGAGGGACTGACCTTGCTCCGTCGTGTGAGCTCCCCGGGTGCTCCACAGTTATCCGTATTTACTAAACACTAGCTGACCCGGCAGACTTTGTGGTGCCTCAATCGATAAATAAAAGACCTAAACTTTTGTGTAAAATAAACTTAAAACAAACAAAAGGAATCCGTCCGACGGGGGACACGTCAAAGGAAAAACAAAATTGTTATTTTTATTTAATTCCGAGCGTTTTCATATTTATCTACCTTTTAAACCTTCTCTGGACTTCCACAAATAATTCAAGACCAAAATTAGCCAAATCGGTCCAGCCGTTCTCGAGCTTTAGCGAGACTAACGAACAGCAAATCATTTATATATATATAGATATGTGACACGTCCAATTCAAAATGACTAAAATACTCCGCCGGTACGCGCTCTGGAAATCACGTGTGACGTCACTGGAATTTACTGTTTCATGATGGGAAATGGAAGGAAATAATATGACAAAAATTAATTATACTATTTAAGTGATTAATAAATACAAAAAATTTCAAAGTATTGTACGTTTGTAACACAGCGCTCGGGCAGCGTCATTGCCATGCCAATATCAATTCTAAATGTGCACCGCGTGGGTCACGGACTCGACTACATCACTAGCTGTAGCCAATTGTATAAGTTAACCGGTTTTTGTAAAATATGTATGTACTACCGGCGTCAAACTGCTTAGTTAGAACATTGGAACAGCGCCCCTAGCGGAAAACGTTGGGAAAGACATGAAACAATGAAAGCATTTATATATGACTAGCGACCCGCCCTCGCATCGCTTCGGAAACTTTAAATTTTATTATTGACTAGCGACCCGCCCTCGCTTCGCTTCGGAAACATTAAAACACACATGAAACCAAAAAAATAAAATAAAAAAAGTAGCCTATGTTCATCAGGGACAATGTCGGCTTCTAATGGAAAAAGAATTTTTCAAATCGGTCCAGTAGTTTCGGAGCCTATTCGAAACAAACAAACAAACAAATCTTTCCTCTTTATAATATTAGTATAGATAGCTGAGTCTCGCGATGTAACCCGCGGTTATTGTCGTACCGCGGGTGACGCCGCCAGGCGAAGCTAGTCTAAAAAAAGTAAGCCTAAATTACTCCTTATATCACCAGCTACCTATCAGTGAAAGTCCCATCAAAATCGGTCCAGCCGTTCCAGAGATTAGCCGGAACAAACAGACAGACAGACAAAAATTGTAAAAAATGTTATTATGGTGTATGTACCGTATATATACTCATATGCATGTAGTAAAAAGCGGTTATTTCAATATTACAAACAGACACACCAATTTTATTTATATGTATAGATTTAGTATTAACTGTACATATTCCCGTGAGATTAATACTAATAGGTATTGAAATGTAATGGATTAGATTTCAAATAAAACGTTAGGGTTGTGTCGTAAATGTACCCGCAGACTCGGCGGGAGCCTCACGGCGCGGAGTAAATAAAAACAGCCTCACAATATGAACTGTCTAAATTAGTGAGAAATCAATTGATTTTAAAAGAATTTAAGGAAATTAATTACGCGACCATATCTTTAATAATTTCGAAATTATCATGATAACGTAGGATTTAATATAAGAAATAGGTAGTAATAGAACGCGCGATAGTATAACTACATCCGTTTTCGAAACATTACCGCAAACAAAAACGGGTTTGCCATTGAACATCTAATGTGGAATGATGTTTGTGGACTTTGGATACTAGTGGATACTAGTAGAGACTAGTAGATACTAGTAGATACCAGTAGAGACTAGTAGATACTAACCACCCATGCGATACGAAAGTGAAGCTACTACAAACGACAAGCTGTTATGCTGAGTTGACCCGCACCCCGTGTATAAGTGTGGTGCTGTACATGACTTACAGCAACAGGTTCCGCTGGCTGTGGTCTCTGGGCCGCGTGTGCACAACACCACAACAACAAGCACAGGGAGCGGTCACTCTCCGCGTAACGCGAGATGGTTCCTCACTCTAGAGCCCTGACCGCCGGACGCTGGATTAGCAGACACCGCCACCAGTAGCAGTATAATTATAAGTACAACTTGTATTTCTTTTCGTATTGCTTAGATAGGTGGACGAGCTCACAGCCCACCTGGTGTTAAGTGGTTACTGGAACCCATAGACTTCTACAACGTAAATGCGCCACCCACCTTGAGATATAAGCTCTAAGGTCTCAGTATAGTTACAACGGCTGCCCCACCCTTCAAACCGAAAAGCATTACTGCTTCACGGCAGAAATAGGCAGGGCGGTGGTATATACCCATGCGGACTCACAAGAGGTCCTACCACCAGTAATTACAGTAAGATTTTGTCTTAATACAGGTACGCTTTAGGAACAATATCGGTACAGTTTACTATGTCCCTCGTAGTGTTCGCATCCATAATTAATCCAGACGGTAACAGCGGTCGACTGGACAGGGTGAGCCCGCGTCTGGCCCGGGGAGCCCCCTTGTAATGGACCTCGTCCTGAGGTCGCCGCTCGTCACAAGATAAACAGAAGAGAAAGATATCGGAAACAACGTAGGGTGGTATCGACTACCCGACCTCTGGGTCAAGATCCTAAGCCACCTACATACAGTTGTACTGGTGTTTTACTGGTGGTAGGACCTCTTGTGAGTCCGCGCGGGTAGGTACCACCATCCTGCCTGTTTCTGCCGTGAAGCAATAATGCGTTTCGGTTTGAAGGGCGGGGCAGCCGTTGTAACTATACTTGAGACCTTAATATATCTCAAGGTGAGTGGCTCATTTACGTTGTAGATGTCTATGGGCTCCAGTAATCTAACAAATAAAAAAAATGTAGTTACCGTGAGATGCTCTTTAACAGTAACCGTCAGTGGCCCGAGGGCAACAAGTCGGTGAGCGCGCGCACCGAGCTGCGGACGTCGACACCTCTCTGTATACAGTAGATTGGGGGAATCATGACGCTTTCCAATTCCAGCACAAATTATCAGCGGTTTTTCTTTGGGTAAATACCCAATAAAATTGAGATTAAAACGGTTCCGGATGTTTAAATTTTCATATACGATGCATTATTATATATAGTTCATTGAAAAATATAGACAAAAATTTAAAAAAACTAGCTTGACCTGATCCACCTTGGCTTTTGGAGTGAATCGGATCACGTATGGGGACAATAGAGTTTTTGGATAGGGGTGGCACTGTTTAGTTGTTAGGTAGGTACTTACCTTTAGGTAATTAACTTTTCAATATCTTTAATCAGTTACAAAACTCTGATGACTAAATTAAACTATTTAATATTCTTAAACACTAAATAAAAGTTATTTTCAATTCAACAAATTTAAATCTCACAAAAGCATTGTGACAACCCAGATTTTCTACCCCTAGTCCCTATTCCCCCCAATCTACAGTACGTAAAGTACATGTGTGAGTATTGCTGTACTCAGAGAAGCATCACTCCTATCCGATAAGTAGTTCGATAAGCATATTCCGACCTAAACTATTGTCTACGTTGTACATATTATGTAAGTTTAAATATTATTTGTAACTGTTGAAACGTAAAAGAAATATTTTTTTATTCATTAAATAAGTTATATATTTTATAAAAGTGATATAAATAGGTGCAATAATGTATTAAAAATAAAGTGAAGATATAGTTTTGTTACTTTGAATAGTTTTATTTAAACAACAAACAAACAGCAGGCGCTAGTCGCCGCGCAGACCCAACGCCAGCTTCATTTCTATAGAATAATTAACATCTACTTTAAAATCTTCGCAATCTTCGAAAACTTCGTCGTCTACAACAGACCTCGCCTGTCCGTGAACTCGCGCAGCTGGCAGACCATTGCGGGGCGAAACCTCGCGTTGCGCGTCCTGACGGGGAGAGTCCTGACGCGGCGAGTCCTGACGCGGCGCGTCCTGGCAAAGTGAATCCTGACGTGGCGCGTCTTGGCGGGGAGAGTCCGGACGTGGTGCGTCCTGGCGAGGCGCGTCCTGGCGAGGCGCGTCCTGGCGGGGAGGGTCCCTTGTGACTCGTGCGTCATTCAAAATCACGGTTCCTTGTGCGTCTTCAAGTTGAATTTCTTGAACTTCAACCGTAGCACCAAAACCGTCAGCTAGATTCCTTCCACCGGCTTCGGCGACACCTCCCGCGCCGTTAGCATCAGACGCTCCGATATCGGTGAGGGTGTCTTCGAAGGACACGTCGGTGGCCACGAGCGTGTCGTCGGCGTCGGAGCCGGGCGGGCTGGCGGCCACGTAGAGCAGCTCCCCGCCGCGCCACCGCTGCTCCGCCGCCTCCATGTGCGCCTCTATCAAGAGTGACACTTCTGGCAGCTGATGGTCGAGAAAATAAACCTTAAACTCTATTGCACCCAACCTTACATCGAACCTTAAAATGAGGTCGTCGTGGCCTAAAGGATACGACATCCGGTGCATTCGTGTTGAGCGATGCACCGGTGTTCGAATCCCGCAGGCGGGTACCAATTTTTCTAATGGAATACGTACTCAACAAATGTTCACGATTGACTTCCACGGTGAAGGAATAACATCGTGTAATAAAAATCGAATCCGCAAAATTATAATTTGCGTAATTACTGGTGGTAGGTAGGATCCCTTGTGAGTCCGCACGGGTAGGTACCACCGTCCTGCCTATTTCTGCCGTGAAGCAGTAATGCGTTTCGGTTTGATGGGTGGGGCAGCCGTTGTAACTATACTTAAGACCTTAGAACTTATCTCAAGGTGGGTGGCGCATTTACGTTGTAGATGTCTATAGGCTCCAGTAACCATTTAACACCAGGTGGGCTATGAGTCCGCCCAACCATCCAAGCAAAAAAAAAAATTACGGCCAACGCACTAGCGGTGGACTGAGAGAGCGCTCCTAGAGAACGGATGACATGTATCTCTACCGATAGCGATACGTCAGAAACATTCTCCCCTTCACTCTACGAATCATTTAAATGCTAAAAAGCTTAAAATCAAAATACCCTTACGCTAATCTCATTTTGCAGCGACTCGGAGATGTGCTCTATGATAGAGTTTGTCGTGTTGTCGACTCTACCGGCGTGGCTCGTGATGACGTCATAGCGACGGTAGAGCTCGTCCCTCTCGTGTTGCACGGTGCGCTCTAGGATGTGCGCGGCCACCGACTGCTCTATGTCTCTATCCTCTGCCATATTTGAATAGTTTACACCTGAATTAATCACAAGATTCTATATTTATATCTATATTTCAACATAATCAGAATAATCCGAGATTTTTTGCTCCTACTCCCATAATTATTCTGTGTAGACAACCAGAGCCCCTAAAGGGCCTGGTCTACCGGCAGACATGACGTTTCAAAGCTAAGCCCCAATATAATCAATCCCATCATCAGCTCTCGTAGTTAGTAAGCTAAGGAGGAAAGTCAACCAGCTCTACTATCGGCAGAGTGGCAGCCGAGGACAAGAGACAGTGCCCAGGACGCGCTGATACCTTGCGAGGGGAACCTATCGTCTTCGTAAGAGTTGATCGCGTTGATGATGGATCTCTTCGCATCCTCCGGCTTCAGCTCCAACAGATCTTCGTCGCCGACGTAGCTGCGGGTCTCTTTAGAATAATGCTCATTGGACTCTGAAAGAAATCATTAAAATCTTTGAGATCTTTGGTGTCATTTGAGATCATTCAAACTAGTTTACGGTTTAATCTTCCATTTTTATTATTATTACATCATTATTGTTATATTTCCGACTTGTTCATGATTACAGTTCCGCAGTCACGAGCAACTTCGAAAGCGTAGTCGTTTTCATTATTTCTACGACTCGTGAAAATCAAAGAGAACATATTCCTTTTATTTATTGCTCTTATAGGCAGACCAGAATATGTCCCACCTGATGGTGAACGGTTACATGGACTTCAGCAATGCCAGGGACAGTGCCAAGTCGCTGCCTACCATTGTCTCCGCAAGCCTCGTTTGAAGGACATTTCCTTAGTGCAGTAGGAAGGTGGTGCATCTACTAGTAAATATGAAAGTGTTTTAATTGGTAACGAAGCCGTTTCCCTTCAATTCAAAGACGAAACAGTCAAAATTGTAAAGAAAGAGAAACTTCCTCGCTAAAGTTGAAAGAAGCCACGGCGTGGTGGTACCGGTGCAGTAGCAACAGTTGCAATGCCACCAGCGGCGCCCGGCCTCGAGGGACCGTCAGGTGAGGTCTCACACCGCTATGTACTAACTGCTGTGATTACGGAAACTAGCGGTGTCATGGATTTCCTGATCATTTACTTAGGTTTACTCTCAAAATTTGACTTTAATTTGGTTAGTCCCGAAATAACAACATCAGTCAAACCCCGCGCACTAGACGTCTAACCCAAACCCATTCCTACGTCCGGGGACAAACACGAAATCCCTTCCAAAACTCATCCCTACCTCCCTGGCGAGTTTCATCGGCGGACTGTAAGTCGCCGTCAGCAGTCTCATCATCATCGAAGCCACCTTCTTTATACTCTTTATCATTACAGACGACGGCATCTTCAAGATTTCGAGGATCGTTTTTCTTCGCCGATTTCGGTCTCATTTTAACAGCTTTATAGTTTTTTTCTTCATCAGTGCTATCACCGGCTGATGAGTCAGGGTCGCCGACGGAGGCTGCACAGAAGTAATGTATCTTTTATTTCACCAGTCTCCATTTTATCTTGACCGTAAAAGACATCGAAGCTTTAGCCTAACCTAACAACTCAAGAGCAGCTGCTTCGCGAATGAATCTACTACTGGATCGGAATCGTGACCCGCTGAGAAGGTCCGGCGAGAAACTCAACGGGCGGAACTCTTTACCGAGTTCGACGAGTACGGTTACCGGGGACCCTAAGCCTGCTCCTAGTATTAGAGCTAAAGGCGTCTAATGCAAGGGTTATTGGATTTCTTGTATGCACCTACATTGTCTTCAAGACCGTCTGACTTGAAAAGTTTTACTAAAACAACAAGCTCACAGTACACTTACAACCACCTTCGAACTTCTCCTCGCCGATCTGGTAGCCGACCTGCCCGCGCCCGTAGTGCAGCAGCACGGCGCCCGGGACGCGGGTTAACGTCATCTTGGTTTTATCTAAAGTAACATATAACTCTGCACGCACTCGACCGGTGCTTGGAAGTGACGCCGAACACACAGCTCATGTTCGACACGCTTATAATTGATAACGTTCTTTTTCTAGTTGCTGAATGAGTTGACATAGTTTTAAGTGATTGCTATTGACATCCACACGTCATTACGGATTTTTTTACTGGTGGTAGGACCTCTTGTGAGTCCGCGTGGATGGGTACCACCACTCTGCCTATTTCTGCCGTGAAGCAGTAATGCGTTTCGGTTTGAAGGGTGGGGCAGCCGTTGTAACTAAACTTGAGACCTTATAACATATATCTCAAGGTGGGTGGCGCATTTACGTTGTGGATGTCTATGAGCTCCAGTAACCACTTAACAGCAGGTTGAGCTGTGAGCTCGTCCACTCACCTAAGCAATAAAAATTTAAAAAAATCGTGAACATAATTGCCCGGCCGCAGATTGCGTTCGATCCAGTGCCTAATTGAAGACAAAAATGTTTGTTTTAACTTATATTTACCAACGGTATGTACATATTTATATCGATATATTTATTAACAACGCTCACTAACACGGCCAACAGACAACTGACAGGCTGGGCGCCGCCACACGCGCGTTCCCTTGGCGGACGGACTATAGCGGCAGTGGTGCTAGTCGACATCTCTTGCACACGGACACGTAACCTCATAACCTCTTATACTACTTTTTAAAACAGTTATGAGGTAAAAAATTGCGTCTTCAAAGTTCGTCATTAACCATGACAACAAGCCACCGACTCTACGACTACTCACCAGGTACCTCTCCTCCCGTCAACTGACTGAGCGCGATCCTGTCGAAGGCATTGTCTCGGCTGTAGCTCGTGGTCATCACCCGCTCTCGGATCTCGTGAGCCGGTATTAGATCCTGGTCCTTGTAGAACTCTTCCATGACCTTCTTATCGTAAAGCTTCTGCGGAAAATTTGTTTCATCTCAATGCTTAGTTACAGTGTGACCCATCCTACACCCTGACCTCCACTAGTCAAAGATCTATGAGCATCGGTAATTACCCACTATCAGATAATGCTAGAGATAGACAGTATATGTAAGAATGCATTAAAAATATCTGAAGCGTGTTTAAAGCATTATTTAAATATTTATATCTAAAGAGATCCTCGTGTCTATTGCCTTCAAAAAGTAGAATATCGGATATTGTAATGACACTCAAAATTCGACCTTCGTTATCGAAGCGGACGGTTGCATTCGCGTTGTAACGTCCTTGGACGCTCAGTACCAGCTAAGCCATGAAGCTGTCCTTCCATTTACACTAACTAAAAGAAAAATGAGTAAGAAAATACACAGCTTTCCTAGCACCTCCGCCACCTACCATTGGATTCACGGCGGGCTCTCCTCGATCAATCCTCGCCTGTCTCTCCACCTGTTCTCTCTCTAACTCTGCAAATATTTCCAAATCTTCAGCACTCGGCTTCAGATCTTCATCGTCACCATCACAATCGGCATTGTTAATCCGTTGCATGTAATTAATTAAAGCGGTTCCTTCCCCTTGGCTGTGCACTGAGGAATAACAGATCATGACATGCATGAGGGGGCTGGCCCACGCCACCCGGTAGTACTGTCACGGTAGTTCTACGAGTTATAAGATAAGATGGCTATTTATCATCATCATCATCTCAGCCTGTTCACTGTCCACTGTCGAACATAGGCCTCTCCAACTGATGTCCAGTGCAGCCGGTCCATTGCCACCTGCATCCAACGTGACCCATGGCTATTGTTCCAATATACTTGAAGGTGGTGGAAACAGGTTCAACCTTAAGCATGAACGCGATCAAAATTACGACTGCTATAAGCCGCGAGAATCCCGCAGCAACATCAGACCTGTGATTGCCGTGGCACACTGCGTTTCTTATTAATTGTACCACAAGAAACAATCAGCAAGATTATCTTTTAAAAAAATATGCTAAGCACATAAAATATTAATCGCCTTATTACACTTTTTCGAAAGCTTGAAGATCGTCAGGCGAACGCTACACTACATTCGCTCGATAAAAACCCCATTTTTTATTTGACAAAAAGCCGTTTCATAAAAAAGATTTCTTCTAAACATGCTGCGTATACAAAAGCGCATATCACTTAGAATATCGTGAGACAGTACGAGTACTAACTATTTGCAGCTTTAGATCCATAGTGACGGGGCCATATTACAAAAAACAGCATGTAATTCATTAAAACATTTCGAATCTAACGAAATTGCGAGATTGACGTCCGTCACAATCGGTACATCAAATTGACTAAAAAGTTTAAGTATTCGTAAATGCGCTCCTACATGCTCCGGTCGCGGTCCGGTGCGGTCCGGTCGCGATCCGGTCCGGTCCCGTGTCCAGGGCTCGTGACTGTCAAGCTCAAAGCGTTCTTTATTCAAATAACCCTTTACTTGAGTTTCAGATCGTCAAGTTACCATTATGCACTTTGCGCTTTAATCTTTTGTTTTTATTACTTTACCTATATTTACTATTTATTAGATGTAAGTTCTAAGATCTCAGTATAGTTACAACGGCTGCCCCACCCTTCAAGCCGAAACGCATTACTGCTTCACGGCAGGAATAGGCGGGGTGGTGGTACCTACCCGTGCGGACTCATAAGAGGTCCTACCACCAGTGATTACGCAAATTATAATTTTGCGGGTTTTGATTTTTTTACACGATGTTATTCCTTCACCGTGGAAATTAATCGTGAACATTTGTTAAGTACGTATTTCATCAGAAAAACTGGTACTCGCCTGCTGGATTCGAACACCGGTGCATCGCAACAACGAATGCACCGGACGTCTTATCCTTTAGACCACGACGACTTCAAAATAGGTGATAATAACAATTAGTTCACTTAAACGAGAGTAAGTGTTCCCCGCCTTGAGACGTGAAGCGTATATATATATTTGTTGTATAGCGGACGAAGCGGCGCGGTAGTACCTGGTAGACAAAACAGCCACTACGCCTATTGTATCAACATTCAACTGCTCACCGGCGGGTTTTTTATCTCCTAAGCTTCTATTGAACTCACTTCCGCCACCATTTTCTTTATCTTTACATTCAACTTGATCTCTACTTTCATCTTTAGTATCGTTCAAAGGTATTTCTCTTATAGTTATAGTGGACATGGTTTTGATTATATCTTTATCTGCTTCTCTAATCATTTTGTCGCTTTCATCATTTTGACTGCAAACAGTAGTTCTAGAACAATCGGAAGTACATTCGCTTTCTAGATCTTTCTTCGTAATTAAAGCTTCACTGTTGTTAGCATTATCTTCATGAGGTCGCGGATGAACTGTATTTTCTGGTATTGATGCTCCGCTCTTTGTTTCTTGGTGAGAATTTCGTGGACTTTGTTCTGTGCATTCTGTATCATTGAGTTCTGTGTCCTCATTCTCTAAAACTTTGTTTCCACAAAGTTCACCTCCAGCCTCAATAATCTCAATGAGAGGCTTCTTTTCCACATGAATTGTGTTACTAATCGTTTTTTCATAATCAATTTTGCTATCTTGTTCCTTGTGCTTTTTTGCACCTAAAATACAAAGATTTTACAACAAGTTTTTACAGTACATGCTTTATTGATTACATTGTATTTATGACATGCGACCAGCTTCCTAGACACAGTAATCGCAAGGTGAAGTAGACCCCGAGGTCCCCCAGGGGGCGATGGTACCGATGGGAAATGTACCGAATTTCAATTTTTCCGTTGCGTGTGGAACGTATCGCTGTATTAAATTATTAATGACGTATTAAAATTTATTACGGAGTAACAGAAAAAAAACTATTAAAAAAAAACCATTTACTTTCCAAAATCTTGGTAACGCCTCTCCTTTCCACGTGCGGTTCTTGATTGTACAATAAATTGTTGAGAGCTTGGAAATCTGATGCAAAATCCCTAAAAACATTACAATTATAGAGCGTCTGATCAGTCTGATGACGAGACTGCGCCGACACAAGCTGTCGCCGACGGCCGCGGGACGCTTGTCGTCTCACTACACCACTTCACACTCCGGGCCCATATGTGAAGGTGGCGACAAGCTGATCGTCACGTCTATGGGACCCCTGCAATCAGCAAGGAAGTTCATCAATCTGCGGTCATCTGCTCTGCACCGATCCACTCACCCGCGGCGCGGCTCCACGTGTCCGGTGTACCCACTCCACTGATCCCCGGACTCCACGGGGGGTTGATTGTCTATCTCCTGGACCAGACATCTGCCTTTGTCCAGCTGTGACCATTCAATCTTTTTAGTGTCCGGCTCTAGAATAAAGATAATAAAAACAAATTAAATAAAGTTGGCATCAATTTCCTGCATTAGGAGTGAGTCAAGGAAAGATCATCATCAATCATCTTCTAGTGACTGCTTAACACCAAGCAGCCCACTACCCTCTGCCCGAAGACGGTAAAAGAAACTTTTTTTTAAGTGAAACATAAGCATTCAAGTTATATTTGTATCGCAAGTTCCAACCAGCGACTTACATAAACCACAGTTTATATTGACGTTAATCTCAGAACCAGTCTCACCAGATTTGTCATCATCACCAGACTCCTCAGAACTGTCTTCGGTCGTAGAACCTTCTGCCTCAGACCCCGACAGCATGTCCACCACCACGCCACCCTTCGTCACCACCACCTCGGGACTCGACTCATCCGAGTTCGAACCGATCTCTTGAATGTTTGATTGGCCAATAGGGTTACCTTCTACCTGAAAATTTACCAAGCACTTAGTATAGTCATTACTATATGCGTAAAGAAAGGAATAGCATACTAGCCTAAAGTCTATAAATAAGGTTTTTTTATTTAACAAACTAACTCTACCTATTACTAATCTTTAATCTTAATTTGTTTTCAAAGCTTTGTCAGCACATTATAAGAGAAGATCAGCAATCAAACAGCATCCGGCACCATCTCGGCGCTGTAGTACAGCGGCAGCACAGCTTGTAGTACAAAGGAAGACATTCGCGTCTGTAAACAATGTGACCAATACCTTCGGGGGAAGTCCCAGTTTCTCTCTCTCCTCTCGTTCTCTGGCGTCTCTCTCCGCTCTTTTCTGGTCACGCATATTGATCAGATATCTGACACTTTGCATGACTTTCTCTTGGTCTCTCGCTATCCAACTGTTCGAAGGTGTTAGAAACATTAAAATAGCCTTCAGTGGTACATACAGATACATAATTTGAAATCTTACGAAATGAAAATCATCGCTCGTAAAAGGCTTCCCACCATTTTCCTTAAGATACTTGGGCCAAGACGTGGACACTTGCGCCATTGCTGGTCCGAGAGCTTAGAGTCGTTCAGACAGCTGTGTAACAAAGCTATGCTCGATGTTGCTCTGGGGTATTGTAACCGGACCGAAGTCATTCGCTATAAAACCAAGGTCCAACTAACATAGCTCAAAGTATAAGCAAGCTGAAGTGGCAATAGGCCGGTCATATCTGTCACAGACCGGTAGCCGTTGAGATAGACGAGTTCTAGAGTGGAGAGCGCGGACTAGTCAACATAGTGGAGGATACCCAGTAACAAGCTGAAGCATAGTGGGCAGTGGATGAACACGAGAGACCTAGGATCGGGCCACGTGGCGGGCTTTGGGAAAGGCCCATGTCCAACAATTGACTATAATAGGCTAATGATGATGATGATGTCGGGCATCAAGCACAGCATACACAATAATTCTCTCCTACTCTCTCCTACGACATGCAATGAACATACCGTTTCCTCTCTGCAATCTCCTCCTGCACTCCTCCACGCTGCCAGGCTTCAGCGCACGCTCTGTCCCTGGGGAACACCGGTCTATTGTCCAAGTTTAATAATTCCTTCAAACGAAGCGTCAAGGTTTTCCTGTAAGCTGGTATATTCTTCACAACCGGATTTCCAGTCAAAACCAAAACTGTTAAATATAAAATAGACAACTGAAAGTCAAGTATATCACAGGTATACGTAACATTTTCAAATCGTTAAATCGAGACTTCTGGGATTATCCAGTAGTAGTAGAGACTGGTGCAGACGTGTAGATTGTGGTACCAAAGTTCACCTTGTGCCAGTTCATCCAGCAAGCGACTTATGTGCCATGGTCAAAATTAAGAAGCAAGAACTCATACAAACCTTCCTTTAACAGATTCGAAGTTTTGTTTTTCAGATATGGTTCAAGCTTACCTTTTAGCATAATCATATCAGATAGCACATCCACAATTAAGGGATCTTCGAGACGATTGTAAGACAAATCTAGGACTGACAGGTTCTTGCATAATTTTAAGTGTTCTAGGTCATCTGTAATTAAAAACATGAGATCAAAGATAGTTAACAATCTCGGACTTGCAGCTGACTGGAATTCGATGAGATATTCGTCTCTCGCACAACTCGACTTGTGTTGGGAGGGCTATCTGACCGATTCGACCAACACCTACTCTTTGATGCGGTGTGTTTAAGGCAATCTTAAACTTTAAATAATCGATCAGAATAATTTTTTTATCGAAACTAGCACAGAAATACAGTCCACGCCCGAAACACGGCGTTAGAAGTGAAGTCCAATGACACTAAGAGCCTCCGTCGGAAGAGAAGCAGAATAGGGCGAATTGGAATAGATTTGATGTCTATATGTATTCTAATTAAAACCACCAGCGCTTACCAACTGTTGTCAGCATATTGTGTGCAATGCTAAGCGTATGAAGATCAGGCACTGCATCCAAATTATCAATCGTCCGTATAAAATTATGATCCAAGTTCAGAGTGTCCAGCTTAGGGCATCCAGTGAGATTCTCAATTTTCCTCACGACGTTGTAATGGAGATATAGACATTTCAATTCAGATAACGTATCTAATCCTTCAATCCTCTCGATCCCATTGTTTTCGAGAAATATACACTTCAAACCCGTGTACTCATCCAAATTTTCAATCTTCGAAAAACCCTGGAAATTTTTAGGAATGTTTTCACTGATCATTTTAAACTGCACAATCCAATTGCTCAGAATGCATATGGCGACCGAAGTTGTACTTATTTTGGTCTCGTTAATGAATGGGCCCCGTTTTCATGGCACATGACAATATCCTAATTATAATTTGCGTAATTACTGGTGGTAGGACCTCTTGTGAGTCCGCACGCGTAGGTACCACCACTCTGCCTATTTCTGCCGTGAAGCAGTAATGCGTCTCGATTTGAAGGGCGGGGCAGCCATTGTAACTAGAGACCTTAGAACTCATATCTCAAGGTGGGTGGCGGCATTTATGTTGTAGATGTCTATGGGCTCCAGAAACCACTTAACACCAGGTGGGCTGTGACCTCGTCCACAAATCTAAGCAAAAAAATGAAAGTAGTGACGACCCTCAGCGTTGAGGGAACGACTGAACAGCAAGAGGGGAGCCATCGAATGTGGAAAATTGAAACGATGCTGATCTGGGGGCCATGCGGGCTATGCTCAAGGCAGATTGATGTTAAACAGACGGGCAGTAGTGAAACTTTTCCATGTGTCCACCTCAACCAGTGGGATGTTGAGCAAGTAATAGATAAATGAGTCATGGATCCAAATAGTTATATTAATTTAGGATCAATGAACAAGCTGTTAAATACATACATAAATTACATTTTATTTGAATTCAGATTCTTTGTTTTAAGTCTTCTTTAACTGTAACTGTAACTAAACTTGAGACCTTAGAACTTATATCTCAAGGTGGGTGGCGCATTTACGTTGTGGATGTCTATGGGCTCCAGTAACCACTTAACACCAGGTGGGCTGTGAGCTCGTCCACCCATCTAAGCAATAAAAAAAAACTTTAAAAAATCTTTCCAGTTATGTTTAGATTAAAATCTGGCGAACCTCACCTAATGAACTAAAATGCTTAGTTGTATGTGTATTATGAATAATTAGCTTCCCATAACGAAATCTCTGATGAAGCGAACACAGGTAATAAAATAGTACGCTTGCATGAAAACAATCGTTTACGTGTTATTGTTAATATAGACCCAAATTTACCTTTCAATCCAATCTAGTATCAAAATTTCAAGTTCATTGTAACTAAAATTACTCTAAAATTTTATTTGGATTATTGGTGCTCTCATAAGACGCGAGTGTCGTCCGTCACTACCTTCGTTATTTATTACGGGTCCATAAAGTATGAACCTGTTATGACAAGCAATTCATACTGTTTTTGTCAGTGTCAGTCAGTTATTGCATATCTTAATAAAATCAGACAGTAATTCATAAGTAGTCAAATATCTCGTCTGGGTTCTGATTCTCTTCATATGATAATTATCTTGTATGCTCAATTTAGTATATTCGTTTTAAACAACAAGCCACACGAAAGACATACATATCTACAAAGTGCTCAGAATTGAAAAGTGAAATAAAAAACGTATCTGTTATGAAAAATTTATTCAGGGTCGATAAATAAAAAAAATTGTTAAGCCTACTAACATACGCAGAAGCTCATTTCAGGTGATACTAGACCGGGGAAGAACGGGACTTATTGTCAATGGATCTTGTTTGTATTCACATTTTAGTTTTATTATGTTAGTTAAATCTATTACTTAGTATTAAAATCCAAACAATAATATTAGATCAAAGAAAACTCTTCAGATTCAGTTCAACTCTTCGGGAAGAACCACAGCCGGCTCAGGGATAATAGGGAAGACTGGTTCGGGCAAGATCACGGGCTCTGGTACCACGACACCGGGTAGCGTAGGCTCCGGCAGGATCACGGGCTCTGGTACCACGACACCGGGTAGCGTAGGCTCCGGCAGGATCACGGGCTCAGGGGCGATGACGCCTGGGAGAACCGGTTCTGGTAAAATAACCGGTTCGGGTTTGGGGGCCGGCTCAACTGGAGTAGGGATGGGGTCGACTGGGATGGGAATGGGGTCAACAGGGGTAGGAATAGGGTCCACTGGGGTAGGCACGTCGGCTGGGGCCAGTGCGGGCGCGTTGACGTTGACAACGAGTTGCACTAGGGGCGGCGCCGGTAATGCCACCGCAACAGCAAGAATGGCAGAAAAGGCAATGATAGTTTTCATTTTTTGGCTGAAAATAAAAAAAGCACATTTAATTTTATAATTTTGCACAATCTAGTATTACCAAATACTTAAGTAATGAAACTGCGACATGAGCATTTGTGAGCCTGCAAGGGTAGGTACCATTTCGGTTTAAAGGAGGGGGCAGCCGTTGTACAGTTAAACTGAGACTTAAAACTCATTTTTTTAAGGTGACTGGCGGCATCTACGTAGCTGATGTCTATGGGCGCCGGTGACCCCGTAACACCAGATGGGCCGTGAGCTCTCGTCTACCGAATTAAGCGATATAATATATATAATAAGACCTTTTGTGTGTAGACAAATCGATCAATCTTGTACAATCATTACGTGGACACCATTTGTGAAAGTAGATAAAATTTATATTTAACGAAAACTATTTACTCATATACCTAGATTTTACGATCCACTTAAAGCGCAGCAATAAAGTTTGAAATACGTACTGAAATAGAAGTTAAAAGAAACAACCTTAAATTTTTCTAAAACCTAATTTACATTCTACGGTTTAGTATTAGTTACCGCCTCGGATAATTGTTTACCCGATTGGAGGGACATCATACAGTATATTTGAAAGCTTCATCGCTTAAAGTGGATGATGTTTTTTTTTCGTACCTAAGCTGATGGTCTAGAGTCTAGAGCGACCATGTCAGCGTCACCGGATTAGTAGGTGAGCTCACGGGGCTCAAACCTGACGATGTTGCTAACACGAAACCTAGCAAGAGCCGTGCTTCGCAGAATCTACCACCGGATCGGAAACGCAACCCACTGAGAAGATCCGGCGAGAAACTCAGTGGGGTAAGGGATGATGGTCATGTTGTCATGTCTGTGGATTTCATTAACCACTTATTACAAACACTAATCAATCTATTCAACCAATCTACTTAAAATGTTTTTTTTTGTATTCATTTTTGAACATATCAATCATTTTAAGCAGCGTAGGGATGATTTTTGTTATAATTTCATTATAAAACAAATTCACAAACTCACCTTGTCTAAACGAATATCGAATTGAAGCACAAATTCCATTATCATCAACACGACACATCGTTATATACGAAAAGTTAATCCGTTATTGGGCTATAGAAAAATATATCTCTATTTAAAACTCCGTATTTCGCGGTTCCACTCGTGTTAAATATAAAATAAATAAATGAATTGAAATTACGTATTACCAGTGGTATAATAATATAACATTAAAAAATATATTTATTTATACTTCTATACTAATATTATAAAGAAAAAAGATTTGTTTGTTTGTTTGTATTGAATAGGCTCCGAAACTACTGAACCGATTTGAAAAATTCTTTCACTGTTTGGAAGCTACACTATTCCCGAGTGACAGAGGCTATAATCTTTTTTAAAAAAATTTTTGGGATCCTTACTAAAACTCCAATAATGTAACCCAATGTGTAAAAAAATTACCTAAAATATTCTTTAGATCGCGTGCCCTGCGAAAACTATCGATGATAGAATAAAATAATGTACTACGGCTTTGTAGAATACATTATTATTTAAATGTCTAACTATTATAGTTATGCTACAATAAGTGTTCTTTTATTTGAAAAAATAAAACAATGTCAAATATCGTTGAAATTTTTGTTAAAGACCCGAGCGGAGCCGGAGCGGGTCGCTAATATAGAAATTAATATATTGAATCGCGCTAATAATAATATGCACGATAAAATTTATTTATTTCTTAAACAGAAAACAAACTTCGAAACTTCGAACACAGTGGTTTCCCGCATTTTTTTAAATCGGTTTAGGTGCGAAGCTTGCCATGTTGCTCCATGACTTAAATACTACTAAACTAGATATTCAATGCAAGCCATCGTTTCTACAGCCGAAACAGTAACGAAACTCTACATTCGTCTTTTTCCGAGTAAGAAGTCGTGTCGGGGTCGTGTCGTGGTCGTTATGCTCCCAGTTTTGACCAAAGAGTAGGTCTTCGACCACATCATATTATCCCGTCTTCACGCCCTACTATCGTACTAAAGTAGCAAAGTATCTCTTGGCAGCATAATGTAAATAATAATAAAATTTGAAATACTTACTGAAATAGAAATTAAAAGGACGTAACCTTAATTTTTTTCTAAAACCATTTACATTTTACGGTTTAGTTTTAGTTACCGCCTCGGATATTTTTTTTTCTTTTTTTCCTACCTAAGCTGATGGTCTAGAGAGACTATATCAGCGTAACCTTAACTAGTAGGTGAGCTCATTGGGCTCAAACCTGACGATGTTGCTAACACGAACCCAAGCAAGAGCAGTGGTTCGCAGAATCTACCACTGAATCGGAAACGTAACCCACTGAGAAGATCCGGCGAGAAACTCAGCAGGCTGATGCATGGGTTAGGTTGCACGTCGACCTCTTTGTCGAGTTCGACGAGTACGGTTACCGGGGTCCCTAAGCCTGCTCCTAGTGTTAGAGCTGAAGGCGTCTAATGCAAAGGTGATTGGATCTGATGGATCCGTAAGGATGTGTCTAGGACGTCGACGGTAACTGGCTCTTGCGTGATCAGGATTCTAGGAGTAGTCAGCGGCGGCGACGATAAGGCGATTATTATAACGCATAGCCTTATCAAAGTAACGTTCCGACGCTGACTTCATGTGTTTTCGGATCGACTCGAGGCTTAGGTCGTCGTGTAAGTCGATGCTCCGCACGAACCACGGAGCTCTGACGGCTAATCTGCAAAAACGAGATTGTAGGGATTGGATAACACTCTTCTACTGCGAAGCATATGCTATACAATTGAGATTTACACCAATGTCCCGAGGTGGATGACGGCATTCACGCTGTTGCGTCTATGAACTCCTGTAACTTAATATCGGGTGGGCCGTGAGCTCGTTCACCTGTCTAAGCAATAAAAAGATGTACAAACACATCAAAAGCCAATTTTATATCAATGCCTAATCAAACAGAGCAACCAAATATTAATCTATAGCTCCTTCAATAAACTAATTAGAAACGATATCCCTTCTTATTTTGTTAAATGATAATTTATTGTTTTATTTCTCAGGAAATCAGATAAACTTAATTACAAGTTCCATAACCAGTTAACGCCTATACATAAATAGGCAAAAACAAAAAAAAAAGATTAAGTGTAGATATTTCTATCTTTTGGAACCAATTTCCTATTTCTTTCTTTTTTTCAGCTATTATTGCTGTCAATAAAAAAAAAATGGAAACAGAGTTTATATACCATTAAAAGAGTTTACCTATTTTCAAAAAAGTAGCTTTTTCCTTTTGTTTTTTTTTTCGAAACCTCAGTAACATAAGAGAAAATGTAATATTCAAAATCTGAACCTTAAGATTATGGTCGAATTTCGATCATTTGTTTTGTTAAAACATAAGTCCGCAGTTAGTTATAGTTGAATTCTCATATAGGTACTATCGGTCATCGGAATAGCAAATACTTTAGAAACACTAAAGTTTCCCAGATACACGGCAATGCACTACGATGTGTGAACAATATCAAATTATTAACAATCGATTAGATTAGAGATTACATTATTATTATATGCCACTCAACTACGCGTTTAAACAAGAAACTATAAAACTTTATAATCCCTTTGACGGAACTCATTCGTAAACTGATTAGGTAGTCAAATCATACGACTTCTACTTACAAATTTTAATTCGCGTAATTACTGGTGGCAGGACATTTTGTGAATCCGCACGGGTAGGTACCACCACCCTGTCTATTTCTGCCGTGAAGCAGTAATGAGTTTCGGTTTGAAGGGTGGGGCAGCCTATCATATAACTATTCTGAGACCCTATCATTCATATCTCAAAGTGGGTGGCGGCATTTACATTTTAGATGTCTATGGACTCCAGTAACCACTTAACACCAAGTGGGCTGTGAGCTCGTTCATCCATTTAAGCAAAAAAAAAAAAAGATTATTTGGTCCCTGTTCAATTTCTGAACGTCATTGTAAAAAAGGTCTCTGTCAGACGTCCGCCATGACACTTTTTCTCTTTCAAATCCAGTCGCTAAGAGCGAAGCAGCGATTTTATATTTCTTTTCATTTGTCATATGAGAACAAATAAATATATCAAAAACAATAAATACAGTCCACGCTCATTTACCACAACGCAACAGTCCCCCAAAATAACACAATACTCCACATGGTCGCCGATCTTTTTCAGCTAGTAAAGTCATACTTGTTGTATTATGTACCGATTTAAACAATTTCCCATTCTAGATAAGGTCATGACCATTTAATCCGACTCCGAAGACCTAGTTAAATATTATAAAAACATACATGCAAATGTAATTATTACATTCGTATATAATGAATGGTAAGGAAGCAGTCAATAACATCGCCAATTCTACAAGCCGACTTACCTTGAAATGCAAATACAGAATATCGTTAAGATACGGCGTACAATACAGCTTGTGCTGCTTGCAGTGGTTTTTTATAAACTCCTTCGTCATTCTCAGACCTTTGTTCATTTCCTCCATCTCCTTCTCAATCTTCTGCTGGAACTCTCGCTGCTTCGCTTTCGCATTCTCCGCCGCAGTCTTCTCTTTTTCGAGATCTTGCTTGTCTGTTAAGTAAAGAAAAACCGAAACGTGACTAAAATACTTGCTTAATGTAGAACTACACATAAATACTTGTTGTTTTATTAAAGTTTAGCTAATTAGTCTGCTTTCTGAGGCAACTAGCATTTGTTTTACACTAGACAGTTAGAATAGCCCACGGCCCATCTGGCTTCAAGTGGTCACCAGTGCTCATAGACTTGACAATGTAAATTCCGCTATCCACTTTCAGACAAGAGGCTGTAAAACGATTATTCCACCCTGCAAACAAAATCGCATAGCTACTTTATGGGAGCTAAAAGCGGCGTGAATACCTACTCATCCTAAGTCATATTCCGCGCTACCATGCCAACGGAGGTAAACGACCTTAAACCCATCTGAAGGTGGGAAGCCAACGCTATTTACTCATGGATACCAGAGGCGCAAGCAGGCCGTGCCTGCCGTAACATGGCCATGCCCAATGTGTAAAATTTACAACACTAAAAGACAAATGTTTGCACACTATACAGCAGAAACCCGTTGTCTAATTTTCCTCCTGCCTATATCTCACGAATTTATCTATTTATCGATCAGAAACACTTATTCGTTCCAATTTGGAAGGTATGACAATGTAATTTATTAGTTGAAACCTCATTCTCACGACTGAAAGTCATAATTAAATCGTCAGCTCCCACCGATAGAAATATAATATTTGTCAACAATATTAATCGAGATGTCTCGCTACACCATTTTAAGCGATATTAAAATAATAGAAATTTAATAAAAACCATTAAATTCGTTCTTATCTGGAGGGCAGACACTCATATTAGTTTCCCTTTTGTGGTCTCCCTGAGCCTCCTCATCCATTTCAAATGCTGGCAGCTCTCTCACTTTACCCACAACTAAAGGACTCTTCCTGGTTTCCTCTCTTCTTAACAAATTATTAGCTAATCTCAATACTTCTTTGTTATCTTTCATTTTATCTTTAATCTCGTATAACAAATCATTAATTCTATTGTTCCTTTCCAATTCTTTATTTTCTAATTCAGCCAAATTTTTATTTTTCTCATTCTTGCACAGTTCTTTACGGGCATGGTCTTCTGCGTTATTCTCTTTCATCTCATCCGTACTTATTTTTCTGAACGCTTGTTCTTGCACATCTTTCTTTGTCTCTTTCATACCTTTTTCTTCTTTTATTGTTACGTCATTTTGGAGCGGATGTAGAATTTGACGAGATTTAATCATAATATCATCAACCTCTTTGATAAATGTTTTGCATTCCTCATTCCTGATTTCGTAAGATTCTTTGCATTTGTTTATTCTATCCTCATGGTGATTTATCTCTGCGTTTAAATTACAAATAGCTGAGTTAATATCGTCTATATCAGCAGATGAAACCGTTGGACTTACTACTTCTGGTACATTTATGTTTTCTCTGGGTACAATTGAAACTTCTCGTCGTCTCTTCAAAATATCACCCTCTTCTTTAATTTTTTGATAGGCAATGTTAGATTTCCTAGAATTCTCTAAAGCTTCATTCACATCGTTTAGCAGTTCGTTCATACTGTTCAATTTGTTTGTGATATCTTCACGTATCAACGTGCTCAGATTTTCAGCACCTTCAACAATGTTTCGCGCTAAGCTCTTCATTTCCTTGAATTCCATATCCCTGTTCTCTCGATTTTGTTTATCGATTTGGAATATGTCCTCTAAAGCTGTTTGTAAGGTTTGTTCCATATTTTCATCAAATTTCTGTGATATATTTTCTCTTTCCGATTTAGATTGAATTTCGTTTGTGTTCGGTGAATTTCGTGAAGAATTTTCAGTTACCGGAGCGTTATTTAACACAGAATTAATATCGCGTAAAGCTTTTTCAGTATCTTTAAGTTTAGCTTCAAAAGTTTTGGGGAACACTTCTTCGTAACTAATATTTTCTTCCTCTATTTTATTAGCAGTCACTTTCTTTACTTCTCCGCTCAGGTTAGGTTTAACTGGATTATCGGTCAAAGAAATATTCATGGCTGCGTTGATCGAGTAACTCTCCTTGACCTCTTCAAAGGCCGAGCGTCTTTTTTGACCTTTTACAAATTGTACTGAAGATTCTTTTAGAATTTTAACATTCTCTATATCCGGAGTAAATATTGCATCACTTTGGTCTGCGTTGGGATCTTCGTATCTATCTGCTAATTTTAATAGCATATCTTTTGTCTCTTGATATCTAGTCTCGTAAGACTTATCAGAATACTGACTGACGACTTTCTCAATGGCTTCCAAATCTTTTTCATCAGAATCAGATTCTGAATTCTCTTTATTTTTTTCACTTTTCGGGTTAATAGTAGCCTTCAAATATTTAACTTCATATGCATTGACGGAATGCAATAAAGAAGCCATATTTTTATAGTTAATTTTATTAACTTCCGAACTACTAGAAGCACTGTCAATTTCCTTTCTCATATCTTCATAACCAGGCAGTTTTATTTCCTCTATCGGAACAACTATTTCACTGCGTTTCTCTCTATCTATCATGATTTGAATTTGTTTAGATTTTTCGGCTATTACCTGGCTATCTTTTAATAATTCTTTTATTTCTTCTGATGTTAATGGTCTATTACATTCTTCAAATTTGGTAAAAGGTTGACCGGTCATCACATCGTATTCTGATTTTACTTCACCTAGAGCGGAAGCTGCAATGTATGGTCGGTCCTCAAGTATTAATGGCTTTAATTCATTTTGAATAGCTTTTTCTATTACCTCTTTGGGCAATTTGAGATCTTGAAAGAATACTTCCAGCTCTTTACGTTTTAACTCTAAATAAGATGGATCATGAAATTTTTCGTTATTATTAGTCATTTTAAAGTAAAAAAACACACTGTAATAACTTTAACAGTTAGGACTTCTATCATAGAAAATTCACTTTATAGCTGCTAGCAATTTCTATGTCGAAAATGTACTTTTTTCTTGTTTACGAATTTCCTTGGCAACAGCTTTTCGTTTGATTGATATTTTATTCAATATTCAAATTTGGCGCATTTACAGACACTCAGAGATAATGTTAAAAAGGCGATCTATGCACAAAAAAGTCAGTTATAAAATATGGTAGCGAAATAAGTCAAAAACTATTAAATAATATAGGAAAAAAGCCTATTTTTAATCAATGAAAGTTCATAGTAAATAGATGCTGAATTTATTACACTTGTCCCGTCCGCGCATTGTTGGAATAGCCCTGTAGGCTACCAGCGATTAGTTAGAAAAAAAGACGTGTATTTACTAGCCTCTTTGAAAAGATGCGATTTTATTCATTTATCTTCAGCCTGTAATCAATTGAAATGAAAATAAATGAAACATGACGGGATGGGAGGGGAAATAAAAGCTAAATAAAATGATGTTGAATGGTAATGATTTTTTTTTTATTGCTTAGATGGGTGGGCGAGCTCACAGCCCACCTGGTCTGAAGTGGTTACTGGAGCCCATAGACATCCACAATTTTTTGAGACTTTATTTTTGAGAATTTATTGAGACTTCAGTGAACTTTTTAGAACCCGTTAAGCGACTTCCGACTACTTATTACTTTTATCACACTTTTGGACTTTCAAAGAGGGTAAACGATTAAAAATACCCTATTATTACAGGAATAAACCTAAAGAAACACTAAATTATTAATATAAAACAATAAACACAATTTCGCTGCTCGCGTTCCCGCCAAAAAGTCTCTCAAGTATATGTAGTATATATCTATGCAATATTATATTATTCTCTACATGAAAGTTTTGACTTTTTGGCGGGATCACGAGGAGTAAAGTTGTGTGATTTGTTTTATTTTGTCTATTTAGTGTTTCTTCAGGTGGAAATGTGTAATAACGGTGGTTTATTAACTGCTTAATTACTGTGAAAGTGCACAAATGTGGGAAAATGAAACAAAGCCGCTGGACCTAACATAAGTTCTGTGGATCGTCCAAAAAGTGAACTGAAAAAATCTCAGTAAATGACCACCATTTTACTGAGATTATATTTCATCCCATATCATCTCATTTCATTTCATTTAATTTCATCCCAGTTGAATGTTCCATGTCTCAAATTAATCATCTTCGTTCGTTCGTTGAGCTAAAGGTTTTAGTTACCAGGTCATAAAATTCCTTAAAAAAAGTCTATCGATTTGATCACATAACTCAAACAATAACAAAGTTTCTCATGGCTATATCGTAACGTAGGTACGGTACTTAATTATTCCTACAATTATTATTGAATTAATGAAATAAATTCTTAACAACCAAAATGACGGACGAACGTAACTTCCGTTCGTCCTACTACGAGAAAGTCGGTTGCCGCGGAGTAGAAGAGAAGAAAACATTAGAAATTCTCATGAAAGAAAAACCTTGGGATCGAGTTAAATTGAAGCAATTTTGTCTAAGATTTACAGTTTTCGCTGATTACAGGAATTTAGTCTGGAAAGTACTACTAGGTATGTTAATCTCATTTTTACACAGGAGTTTCATTGTGAGCGTAGATCAGCAGACGAGTAGACGGTGTATCGGTTCTTAAGTTATCTCTGAAGACTAGACATCAGAACATGATTGTTTCCGCTCAAATTCGTCAGGTAAACTTTTCTGTCTTATTTCAATAACGGTGACTCAACAAGTTATATTTAAGCTGCACAAATCTACAGCTTAGAAACAGACTTAGTATCTATTTATCTTTCAGACATCCTGCCTGTTTACCCAGATTCATATGAATATGTGATGAAACAGCGGACAGAGCAATATCAGGATCTGCTATATGCAGTCGAGAAGCTACAATTGATTGAACCATCAGAAATAAATGACGGTTCAGGTACCCCTCAGAGCAAAGTATTCCTGGAGATGTGGGTTTTAGAAAATGAAGAATGGAAACCACCTGTATTCCCAGAGACAAACTTTAACGTAAGCTGGTATTAATGAGTTTTTTTTTATTGCTTAGATGGGTGGACAATCTCACAGCCCACCTGGTCTTAAGTGGTTACTGGAGCCCATAGACATCCACAACGTAAATGCGCCACCCACCTTGAGATATAAGTTCTAAGGTCTCAAGTATAGTTACAACAGCTGCCCCACCCTTCAAACCGAAAGGCATTACTGCGTCACGGCAGAAATAGGCAATAGTATAAAATAATAATATAGATGCTATTTATGTTGATTTATTTATAGTAACATTAAAGATGTTTAATTTGTTATAATATGTAGGGAGAAATGAGTCTAAAACAAAAGTATATAACTTTTAATTAACCTTAGTTAGATATGCAGATGTACCAGAAGACTGAGACTGTCTGAGAAGTCTCTGCATTCCTCTTAAGATTTTATGTTAAAAACCTTTCTGATAAGGAAGGAGGATAAATGATAAAGGTATCATTTCTGTTTAGTCTGCAGATACGTTCCTCCCAATTTCTAAGACACTCAGGGAACTTTATGATGATCCAGTGGATGTATATTGGTTCAGTAAGAGATTTACAGAGGTTGTGAAGAACATGCAGAAAGATCTCAACAAATTGAAGGAAGCATTCTATAATATGTTGGACAAACAAGATGGAGAATTGTATATGTGAGTTTGTAACATGCTTGTGAGCTGGTCTTTAAAATAATAGTAATGCAACTTATACAATATCAGTCTCTCAAATGAAAGATCATTTATCACACACACAACCTGGCTCTTGATGCTCTTGACTTTTGAAGTTGTTCTGACCTGAAGGATAAGATATCTGGTGTATTTGCATATGATATGTGACTATGGTGGTGATCTAATCCCATAGGCAGGTACCAATTTGTCTGATGAAATACATACTTAATTATATAAATGTTCACAAATTACTTGTGAACCACAGTGATAGAATAACATCACATAATAAAAATTAAAAATTATAATTTTCATAATTACTGGTGGTAGGACCTCCTGAGAGTCCGTGCGGGTAGGTACCACCACCACCCTGCCTATTTCTGCCGTGAAGCAGTAATGCGTTTTGGTTTGAATGGTGGGGCAGCCGTTGTTACTATACTTGAGACCTTAGAACTTATATCTCAAGGTGGGTGACGCATTTACGTTGTAGATGTCTATGGGCTACAGTAACCCTTCTAAGCAATAAAAAAAAAACGACCGGCATGGTCAATAACTATAATAATTGCAATAATACACCAACACAAATAATCTGAAATGTTGAGTACATTATTGCTTAAAGTTTGGTTCTTCACATCATTTATACATACCATAGTGCATGCATGTACATGCATGCATGTACATGCATGCATGTACATACATACATGTACAGGACATGTAGAGCATACATGTACAGGTCTGCTTACCAATTAATCAAAAATAATATAAAAATATTCATTGATTATCTATATGTATCGCCTATTAGAATTAAAAAAAATTGACCTTATTTGTTAATGCCTGGAATATGTCTAACTGTATCGTTTTAAGTTTTGGGCCATTATTCATTAAGCTATTTTTTTTCCAGTTACTTGCAAGATATAAATGCATTGGAAGTAATACCATTGGTGAACTGGTTTAACTGCTGCTTTGCTGGAATATTGGATGATACATCTTTACCGAAGTATCTATACATTATTTTAATTTAAGATTTGTTAAAGCAGACTAATATGATCTTGAATGAGATTTAATGGTCTTTTTTAGAATATGGGACAAAGTGTGCAGCGGAGCACCTAAAATTTTAGCATATGCTGCTGTGATGCTTGTCATTACTTTACGCCGCAATATTCTAAAAGCTAAAAATGCTGATGAAGTTGTAAAATGTGTAACAGAGGTATGAGTAACTTTCATTTAAAAAAACAGAACAAAATGTATATTCTCTTCAAAAACCGTTTTAAATATTTTTGTTATAAAATTTTAAAATAAATTCCTGAATAGTAGTTTATTTTCCAGATTCCAAAGCAATGTGAGGAGGTAGTGGCCAACAAAGCGATTGACTTGTGGCAATATTACGGAGCCCAACCGCAAAGCGACCAATTGGCGAAGAAATGATGTATGACCTTCTAATGGGTTGAACTCATTAGAAGGGAAATTTGCTAACGAAATGTTAAGTGGACCTGTAAACTTTTGTATAGTATAAGGCAGCATAATATAAGGTAGGCAGCGGCTTGGCTCTGCCCCTGGCATTGCTGAAGTCCATGGGCGACGTTAACCACTCACCATCAGGTGGGCCGTATGCTCGTCTGCCTACAAAGGCAATAAATATATATATATATATATATATATATAAAACCCAAAGCTTAACTATACTAAAAATAATGTATAGTTTTGCTTTATAAATTAATCATGTATTTAGGTGATTATTGTTCTTTGAATGCAATAAAACTACTAGCTTTTTGTGTGTAAATAAAATTTGTGAAACCTACTTTACATGTAATAAAATTATTTAAAATGAAGAATTATTTTTAATATGGAAACTAAGCTGTACAAGTGGTTACATATAAAACCAAATAAATAAGTTACCTTTGAATTGACAAAGTCAAGAATAATATATCAGCTTTTTTGAAAAGTAAAATACTGACTACTTAAATTTGAATAAAAATGTAACTCAAGCTTCTACCAAATTAAAAAAATCTTAAATTTAAGATCATAGTACATTGTGGAGGATGGAGATTTAAATGTGACATTGCGAGTAGCCTAAAAAGGTGTAATGGTAGGCAGCGGCTTGGCTCTGCCCCTGGCATTGCTGACGTCCATGAGCGACGGTGACCACTTACCATCAGGTGGGCCGTATGCTCGTCTGCCTACAAAATCAATAAAAAAAAACAATTGACTATGCTAAGTAATCTTTTTTCCGACTGCCGAAGGAGGCTACCGAGCTGCCAAAGTGGGGCAATTTTTTTCAAGTGGTACCATTCTTTGGTACCAAGTAGCCAAGCGTCCTTGAAGGCAATGCTCAACATCTACGAATCCACCATCTCGCAGAAGGAGGCGGCGGAACGAGAGAGGGCGAGGCCTTCCCTTTTTTTTTTTTTTTTCATTATTGAAGGATTACTGGTGGCCCGGAGGCCTTTCCAGTTTCACCAGGACAGGTGGGCGAGCAAAGGCTCAGCCAGGAGGTCTTCCCTTTCGGCACTGATCCGGCGTCGTGGAGTCGGGGGCTGGAAGACAGTATACGGTCGTACGTCCCGGCCTTTGTAGGAGGCGCCTTCCCTGCGATGATGGTCATCTGGTGCGGCTGCGCGGCGCGCTATCTGCACTACCGCACTGCCGTGGAGTGATCTAATTGTCAAAAAGAGCAACCGATTGGCGGTATATCGCGTCCCGACCCGGCAGGCTGGTCCTAGTCCAACGGGATATTCCGGGACACCAGCGGCCTAACGGGCTGCCGTACTGGGGCGGCTGACGTGTTAGAGCCTTCACTCTCCGCCTCGCAGGTTCCGACGGCTGGGCTTCCTCGGGATAAGCTAGGCTGTCTGGGTGAAGTGTTGACCGTGCTAAATGCCTTACCTCACTCGGGTTCTGACCTCTAAAGGGTATCGGACGTTTCAACGAAAGTGTAAGGGAATCGTGTGGGGGTATGGCCCTATATTCCATCCCATGTGCCAATAATCAAAAGATTTGTGTAAGTACAGTTTAAACGTTACGAAAGAAATTTCCCACTGAGTTTCTCGGCGGATCTTCTCAGCGGGCGTTTCCGATCCGGTGGTAGATTCTGCGAAGTACTACTCTTGCTAGGGCCAGTATTAGCAACACTCCGGTTTGAGCCCCATGAGCTCACCTACACGTCAAGGAGAAGCTAAAATAGCCTCTCAAGGCTATCAGCATAGTTAGGAGAAAAAAACGAAAGAAATATAAAATAATCTCTACAGAAGCTCCTAACTTTGCAAATTTTAAAGTTGTTATCTTCGATCAATAATAGTACTAGATTAAGGATCAGGAACAAAAATAAGACGCTCCAGTGACCACGTTTGCACACGAAAACATCTTCATTTCTTAGAAAAAAGTTTAATAATGTTAACAACTTCAGTTTATTATAAACCTTAATACTTAAACATAAAGTTTAATTACCATTGCAAAATATATGTATTTAGGTCCTTTCGTCAGAAAAAGAATATTATGGAATAAATTTAAAATGTCACTTGAACATAAAAAGTCATCAGTACAAAAATATTTATTCTAAAATGATACTTAAAGCCTAATTTATAAGGTTAAAAATATTTGTTTAAAATTTCGTGCTTATTGTATTGTGGAACTAGATGTAGTTCTTGGTATTACATTTCAATGCTCAGAACACAGTAAGTATTGAAAGACATAGAGTTGCAGAATATACATATTTGTTTTAGGTTTGTTTTGTATGGTCGCAACTATTTTTGACCGATTCAAAAAAGTAGTAGATAATATTTTACATTGCCGCTATTACAACAAATAGGTGATAAAAAATAAAATTGAATAAAGTAAAAAAAATATGAAAGGAAACACGAAACATGTTTTCCACGTATTCTTTATACAGAAGTAATTAAAACAATAATGTAGGTTTAATTACCTTTAAACAGATTCAGTTTGTTATAAAGCTGTCTTTTAGAAGTCATTTTTATATGAGCGGTTTCTTTTTTACAAATATAATGTAATCTTATATCAATGAATTTTTCTATAATCAGTTTAATTTAGGCTTATTTTATGGCTGTGTTCGTTTCCCCCAGAAAACAAATCCTTTTCAGCATATACGCTTAAAATATTTACACATACATATAAAGTTTTTTTAATACTTTTTTGCATTGATTTGCCACCACCATTGAACAATTCTAGAATTTTTATAAGGGTTCAATATTTCTTCTCCTCTTTCTTTCGCGACAATATTTATATCCATTGTGTACAGCGACAAGGGGCTACTAGGAAATCTACAAACAAAAATAACATTATAAAATAACAAAACTACTCTATGCATTCCCTGTCCAAGAATAGGTGATGTTTGTTACAATAGTTGGTGCCTTGTTGCAAACATTGGCCAAACAATTACAATATTCATAAATTGTGTTTTATTTGCAATATAATTGTGTTTATTATTTTATGAAAAACACTTAATAATATAAATTTACCAAAAAAAGATATTCCTTCCAAAACCTTGGTGTTACGGTGGTTTTTTACTCAGTTTTTGAACGCGCATTGCAGCGTTTTGACGTCTTAGTGTTGGCTATGATTGGACCATACTAATTTGAAATAAGACCACAAATTTATTAATGGAATGGAATTAGTTATTAATGGAAGGATAAGACTACTATTTGTCTGTCCCGTTGTTAGAGTCCAAGTACTGCTAATAGGCTGGTAACGATTTAAGACATGTTCACGAAAATGACTTCCATGATGATGAAATAACATCGTGTAATAAAAATGAAACCCACAAACATAATTTGTGTAATTACTCATGGAGGAGAGGCCTTGTGAGCTCGTTCAGGTAGGTACTTATAGTTCTGCTGTGAAACAGTAATGTGTTCCTATTTAAAGGGTGCGGCAGTCGTGCTGCCATACATACTACTCTTCAGTGGCGTAGCTAGGTAACCAAGGGCCCTGGGGCAAATTGAAAAATAGGGCCCCACTGCTATGTAAACTGATTAGGTTTTATCAAATAAAAATATGAAATATACAATTACTTTAAAAATGCTAAACTACATAAGCTCTTTTTTGTGCACTGCAGGGCAGGTAATAAAAATAAATTAAAATAATATAATAATTAAAAAAATATTGAGGTTCGAAAATATGAGCATTTAGGGTGCTTAAAAAGAACAAATTGATATGTGAAATGTAACAATTTAACATCAGTGATTAACAATCATCTCTAGCTTCAAAGTCTAGTTACGAAGGCCATAAAACCTTCACAAAAAAAAAGTCATCCTTATGGTATACCATAGATTACGATGACTTGTCGCCATTTTGCAAGAATGTCAGCCAAATCATCAGAACTAGTGTTTTAAGATTTCTATGTTATTTCAAAAAAAACTGAAGTGATTTTGTGTTTGAAAAGTTATTATTGTTGATCTTCAAAATGGACCGTTTTATAAGCATGTGGAAAGTGCGTGAACTGGCCGACAAGGTGTAAGTATTTACAAAAGTAATCATATAAAATAATATATAAACCCAATATTGTATAAACCATCTGTTCATAAATAAAGTTTAAAAAGTGTTTGAAAATGACCATAAACATTATTTGTAAATTTTTTGTTTAATTCCAAATACATTGGTTTTTTTACATTCCATGCCTATAGCTGTTTAACAGAATTTCAAATCCTCATTGTAATTATGTATAATTCCAATAATTTCACGTGTATATTCTAATACCTTACAAGTGAGAATGTTGCCAACATAATTGTGTTCTAACATTAAATCCATTTATTTACCTTCATGTTATTGTATTGAATTCAATGAATATGATAACTTTTTAGTTAATGCTTATGGTTGAGAATTGATTTTAAAAGTGAAATACATCAAATAAAACTTATCTGACCACTTCTAGGACTCAAATCAAATTCTTCCATTTACTGTCTAACATAGAACATTATTCTTTTTTTAAGTCTGCAAATAAACCTAAATCTGTAAACCATTAAATCACCTCACAAATAGAAAAATACTGTTGATCAAATTGAATAGTATATAGTGATAGCACTTGGTTATGGTATTCTAATGAACATAATAGATATTCCCTGTAATATCCATAAATACAGTTTTTCCTTAAATGTTATACAAAAGCAAAAATCTAGAATTTATCTAACATATTTTCTTGCTAACATAGATTCATTATCAAATTACACTCCTAAGTGTATGTGTTAAACAATAACTTATTTTTATTAAGTACTCTTTTACAATCATTTGCTGTAATATAATTAAATTTCTATAAATACTAATAAAGAAATAAATGGAAACAAATCATGCATGGTCATCTGGCCCCAAATTAGCTATCCTTGTGTTATGGGTTCCAACGACTGACATACATACTGATATTACTTTTTATATAATACACTAAAAAAATAGATAATAAACACCCAGACAAAGATCAAACAAACCTGTTCATCACACGAATATTAGCCTGATGTAGGAATTGAACCCACAACCCTTGGAAGAGTCAGGGGTAACAACTACAGTACAACTGAGCCAGTCATTGAATACTGAATTTTTACTATAAAGAAATAAAGATCAAATTATGTTTTCCCAACAGGAGTGGTTTCCCCAGTCTCTGAGAGTGCAATTACCACATTGTTG